TGTACAATTTTGCCCATGTATGGGTCGGCGTTAGAAGTACGTGGAAGTTGATTATGCCTAAGATTGTAGGCATCCTCAGTACTCCAATCGTGGTGCCAGATCCGGCGCCAAATTTAACCTTGTGCTTTTCAGCCTCGTTGATCTTTAGCGAAGGTTGAAGTCTCTGCAGGGCTTGAACTTGTGGGAAGCCTGCAGATGACACGCCTGATGCACCTGTATCTGGGAGGATCCCTCTGAAGGTCTCGCTGGAGTAGCGGTCGTCAGAGATGAAGGCATTGTCATCAGGTTTTTCAACTTCGTTGGATGGGTCGTCTTTTAAGAGAGCATGACGGAAGGCTTGGTCCTGCAATGCAGCGAGTACATCCTCACTTCTAGGTGTAGGGGCCTTAGTGAAGAATGACGTGTTTACTAGGCTGCTTGTGAAGTGCTGGAATATGCCTGGCGGGTTGAGGTCTTCCTCTTTGGTTCGTTCTTCGGCGACTAGAGCTTCTGCTTCATTGATAAGCTCTTCGAAAGAGTCAAACTTGCCGGCGTCATCATCTTCGACATCCTTTCCCTGGTCTTCGCATAGAGCTACAAAAGCTTGCCATTTCTTCTCTGTTGGCGTCGTCTGGTGCTTTCGTGAGCGAAACCAGTTTTCTCTAGCCTGTTGACGTTCTTTATCAGAATGCTTAAATGACCAGCATCCCTCCTTCTGGCAAACGTAGCATCTTGGTTTCAAGCGTTGGTTGCGTTTAACTGTGAACCTAGACCTCCTATTGTCGCCATTGGAAAATTGGCGGTCAACGAAGTGGGCTTCGCTGTGGTACTGAGCTGTAGCCTTTTTGTTATCTTCTGAAATCCGAATGGACTTGCGGATCTTGGAGGCTAAGTCCTCGAAAGTCGAAGCGCCATCGTAGATAGCTTTATCGCACTCAGGAATGCCTGTGACGGCAGATAGCAGTGTATTTTGCATTTCTCGGTCATCAAGCAGGGGTCCTCTGATGCCTCGATAAGTTTGTTTAATCTTCTGAAGAAGATCTTCGAGGGCGTCAGACAATGACTTGTTGGGTTCTTTAGCCATGATAGCTCGTAATGTGGTGCGTCGTAACTCATCCCAGTAGAGCTGGGTTGTATTGTCTGTCTCGAACCGCTGTTGGATCATCGTTGCCATCGTCGCGAAAGGCGGAGTGTTGGTTGCTAGGTTATCCAGGTAATAAGCCATAGCGTCCCCTTTAAGCATCGTCGGAAGGGCTTTTGCGAGTCCTTCCTCGGGCATATTAATGCGCTGACACTTGTCCTTGAAGAGCATGATCTTGCTTTGGAAGAAGTCATAAAGCTTGCCGCTGTATTTCTCGTCATCAGTATACAGCTTGTTTAATTCAGTGACCTTCTTGGCGATGAGTTCGTGGTTGTCGTGTTTGTTGGGATTTTGCAGGCTCTGTGAAGATTGGTCTCGTGGGGTAAACGTTGGGGATGTGCTTATTTCAAGGTCTGATGTGAGATTATAGATGATATTGGTGCGCTTTTCGTCATCGTCTCCCTCTGTGGGCCAGGTTGATCGATTTGTTTCCTGGATGACTCGCATCAGGCTAGCTGAGACAGCTCCTCCGTCTCTAGTGCAATAGACACCCTTTTCACGTAGAAAGTCACGGAGTTCTCGAACAAGGTTAGCGGTTCCTTGCTGGAAGGTTGCTTCTGTCCAGTGGCTAAAATCATCCTTAAAATACCGCCATAGGAGCTTGCCTTGGTATTCTGACTCATCGTAAAAGTAGAGTGTGTTGGCGATTGCGTCGTTGACTTGTGTGGTAGTTGCCTCGTCGGTGTTCAGGTTCGGGTTACAGTCTTCCCAGTCTAGAGAAAGCGATCGATAGAATCGTTGGATTCGTTTTGGGAGGTCCTCTTTCCTTGGGCGTTCTTGAGGGGTAGGGGAAACTGAGGTCGAGTCTCCTGCCATGATTGTTCTTGTTCTAACTGTCGAGGTACGTGACGGGTAGATTGAACGTAGTTATCTTGTCTCGTGATGGACGAGTGATTCAAGGTCTAGCCGCTCGCCCCTTGGTGTGAGCCTGGACTGACGTCGTAGAGTCTTGAGTCGTTGAAGTCTACCTGCGCACGGCGCCTGGTTTCTTCCTTAGCACGAATCCTTGCCGGCAATTGGTTAAGGATTTGTCTCTTCTTGGTGTTACCTAGCTGTCTGTGGTTGTGAAGTCAACCACTGATCAGCGAAGGTACGCCGTTGACGAGTACTCAGCAACTCATTAGTATGTCACTAATAGATACAGGCTAAATACGCCCACAACTCCCATATAGTTAACTCCATCAATATGGGCTGGTACGTCCTTGACAAGTACTACAAATCTTCCGACAAAGCTCCCGCCTACACTACTGCTCTCCTCCTCCACCCTATGCGGCGTAAAAAGTATATCGACCTTAATTGGGATCCATCTTGGTGTGGGCCAGCCCTCAAAGCTGCCAGGGAAATCTGGGCAAAGTACAAAGATCTGCCACTTGAAGAAAATGTAGGTGACAAGGTGGACGATAGCCGTGAGCTCTCAGAGTTTGACAAGCTTGCGCAAGAGCTTGATGTCACTGAGGACGACAATGAGGATGAATTTGAGAAGTTCGTAACAGCATCGCCACATAAGATCACTTGCTCCCCTTTACAATGGTGGTGTAAAGAAGAACAGAGACTAGAGTACCCTCGTCTCCACAAAATGGCCATTGACATCCTCTCCATCCCACCAATGTCAGACGAGGCAGAACGTGTCTTTTCAGGTGTTAGACGTACCATTTCTTGGGATAGGGCAAGGCTAGGTGCTTGGATTGTGGAGATGACAGAGCTTTTGGGGAATTGGAATAAGAATGATCTTATTCGAGTTCTGCATGTACTAGCAGGCGAAGATGATGAAGTTATTAATCTTTCAGCGACCGGCGGCAATGACATTGACATCTTCGACTGTGACAACTCGTCAGAGTAATGAATACCTGGACAGCTGCAACCTATTGTGATGGTGAAAATCACTGGCTTCTAATCAATAGTTATCAATATCAATATCAATACCAATATTGGCTAAATCTTCGAT